GAATGTCACCATCTCCCTTTATCTCACACAGCTTTGTAATGTGGCTGATGCATGATGGGATAGTGATTCAGCAGGTGAATTGAAAAGAGGAGAAGCAGTTCTTCCAATGAGATGGATTGTTATGTGGGAAGGAGGGAAGTTTTACTTTGAAATAGATTAGTAGCAGATCTTATGTGTCTTGTCTGTCTTCTTGACAGCATGCATTGACATTTTGGGGATTCTTGACAGGCCTGACAGCTTTGAGAACCCAGTATTGCAGCAGCACTTCAGGAATCTGGAGGCTTTGGCGCTGGATATGTTGGAGCCAGAACAAGCTGAGGATCTTACAAGTAAGAATTGTTGAAGGGTGCAAAAGGAAGTGGGTTAGAGGGCTCTTGACTTTGTTCTAAGTCAGAGATGTGCTACTGTAAAAACCAGATGTCTTTAAAAAAATATTTTAGTTGTGTGCAGTTCCAAGATGTAGAATTCTGGATGTGTCCATTCTGATATACTGAAACCTTGCTTTCTAATGCTGTCACTTTTAAGGTACAGGAAAAATTGATCACTTTACCCTCCAAAATTAAAATTGAATCACCTTTTCTCTATGGTGACAAATGTTTTCTCTGAAATTCCTCTCTTCAAGAATTTAATTAATATTTCAGTCTTATAAATAGGCAGAATTACTTACAGAATTAATTCTGCTAGGAGGCAAGGATGCCACCTGGTGGGTATGAGAGGTTTTATATAAGAATATCTTGTTAAAGAACAGAAACCTTCTCTTAAAGGGAAAAATTTTAGGAGTAGCATTAGAGTAACTATTTGTGTCTTCTGAAGTGATACCTAACAAATAATCTAGGTCTTTGTGTTAGATATCAAACAAATACATGACAGAAATAAGCTATTTTGCCTCGAACTACTCCCAACCTAAGATAGTAACCTGTTGTATTTTAAATGTCTGAGATTAGACCTGGGTAACGGTGCAACCAGGTAGGAGATCTTCTATATGGCTTCCACCATGTCAGTTTTGTTTTGAGTATATATTTCCTGTTCAGGGATATGTGCCAGTCACTTATGCATAATAGAAACACTTGATATTACCAAGAGCTGTATGTTTCTCATTTGTGAATATCATAACAAAGGTCTTTGCATTTTGCACGCTGGCAAGACACTTACATGCTAGTTATTACAGAAGCACAATAGTATCTGGTGATGGCCTCATTGAGACTTTCCAGTGATCTCTCAGTTATTGAGAGGGCAAATCTTTTGGTTTTGCCAGTGCCAAAGTCTGAAGAGATGGACCGCAGGCTGGGCAACCTGGTGGAGGAGTTTAAGCAGATGGTTTATCCCCCTGGCTACAATCCTGATGGGAAGGCTGCAAAGCGAAAGCAAGGTATGTAATGACGTGGAGACATGCAAGATGGTGTGTGTTTAGAGGCTTCTGTGTTTTCAGTTTCTCTCATAGTTTAAAGAAGCTGCCTGCACGATAACTCTTTACTCATCTCCACAACAAAGTGGACTTTGTATCCAGCGGTGATTCTTAGGGGGTAGAGTATATTGTGAGATCCATCTAGAGAACTGCTGGAATGAGAAACTGTATAGTGAAAAAATGGACAAGTATAGGAAGCAATGTGGGTAAATTACTGCAAAACATATATTTATTATTATTTTATCATTATTAATAACTTTGTTTCTTACAACAGTAACAAAATTGTTTATGCTTTCGGTTTGTGTTCTTGGTGAGGAAGCAGACTTTTATGCACAGGCTGTTCAGTGAGCCCAAGATGGGCATTTTCAGGGCTAAAGGTCTAAGCAATGCTGAAGTACATGTGTAGATTGGGAGTCTGTGAAACTCTGCATGAAGTGGGAGTGTCAGTTAGCTGAGCTCCCTGTGGAATAGTTGCATTCTCCCGTCTAGATGAGAATCCCTTAAAAGTTTCATTTGGAGTGATCTTTCCATCAGAACTCAAAGTTTCATACTTGAGTTTGAGATCGCTCATATCAATGAAGTATACTGTATGACTCATGTAGTGAGTGACACCTACTTCATAAAACAAAATCCAGACACTCGGTCTGTGAATGTGTATGTAGCTGTTGAAGTGCCTCGTGCTAATGGGCATTAACCGTTGTATGTGTTTGAAATGTTGATGTTTTTCTATTGAGAAACTTTTTAAAATCTTGGTGACTTAAAATTTATCTTTCTAGCTTCTGATGGTCAAACTGAGAAGAAGCCCAAGGTTGAAATCTCAAAAGATGAGCTGTGGAGTCACGTGCAGAAGGGCACTCTAGGCAAGTTGACTGTACCTGTTCTGAAGGAGGCGTGCAGACTGTATGGGCTGAAGGGTGTGGGGAAGAAGCAGGAGCTCATGGATGCGCTGACGGAATACTTTAATGAGCATTAAGCAGAAGGTCCTCATTGACTTCCATCTGCTTAAAGTTTTGGTTATCTTATGTGGATGCTGTGTCTGTTTAACCTTGCTATGGAGGAGAATATGACTAGATGTTGCTGAATCTAGCAGTGGAGAAACTTTTTACTCTTAGTTGTGAAACACCTCTGTAAAGTTGGATTCTGTTCACAGTAGCCAAAGGCAGAATTAAATTCCCTGCTCACTCAGATCACCCACTGCAAGTAAACACAGTTGTGCCTTCCTGGTTTCTTAATAAAAGTCACTTTGGACTTCTTGCTTTGCAACGCTGGCTGTACCGTCTTTGCATCATAAAGATGGCAAAACTCACTTCTTCAATGTGAGAAAACAGAATGATCTGTGTTAATGGCACCACATGAGTTCAAGCAGTAGGTCAAGCCTGTGTGCTGACAGTAGGAGAGTAACACACCGCATTTATACCCTCTCTCTGAAATAGCCAGTCAGCATCAGTAGTTGCAATCAAATTGGGTTCTTTTCCATCATCGGCGTTATAAAGATCATCAGCAGATCAAAAAGGAGAAAATCATTACTGGGAAGCAGTAGTCAACCTTTGGGCAAAAAGCCAGCACTTCATAGAGCTGCACAGCCAGGTTTTCTGTTTTTAAATGGTAATATCAAAAGCTGGTTTAAAAAAGGAAAAAAAAAAAAAGTCCTGTTCCCTGGAAGGCTGCAAGCGCTTACTCCAATTAAATTACTGAGATGGCATAGAGCTTTTCCACCTCTGTAGTGAGTGTGAGTCAGACTACTGTGCAGGCTTCTGTTCTCAAATCTGTGCTTTAAAAATAATTTTAAAAAGCAACCTGTGGAGAGTAGGCCTTGGTACTTCCAGTATTTATTTTTTTTAATCATACTTTTGCACGTAAGTTTTGGTTTTTAAACTTCCATGTCTCGTCTGCCCCACTTGTCTTGCAGCGCAAAATGATTAAACCCAGTAGTCATTGCCTTTTCTCTAGAAAACAGTACTAATTGTTTAGCTAAACCAAAAGTTTTCACAGGATGCAAATACAGGATACACGAGGTACCCATTTTGGTCTGTATGCTGTTTTCAGGGATTCCTGTGTTTGACACACAAACTATTGGGCAACTTATTGAAGAATTAAGTCATATATTAAGGTCATGCCTGTGTTGTAGTGTGGCACACGTATTAGAGCCAGCTGTGAATGCTGTCTTGGCGCTGTGACCACCCTCGCCGTGCCAGCGTGCTGCTCACTTCCACCTCCACAGCTCCTCTCAAAAGAGCAGCTAGCCCATCCATGTTGAACTCTGCAGTATGGAAGCTACATAGTCCATTACACTTTCAATCAGCCTGCATTATAGTGGCTATTTTAAATAAAGATTTGTCTAAGCAATCGGTTTATTTTGCCCTTTGGCAAAGAAGTTACTGTAAATGCTTGTCTTAGCAGGACTTGAACGCGATAAAATAGTGAGACTATCCTGTCCTTAATTCTGTGAATTTTCATTCCCCAAATGTCCTTGTTGACTTCTCTCTTTGCTTGCTAACCCCCAGGCACAATATATTCCACATTTTGGATGATTGTGGCACATTTCATCTAGGTTATTAGATCCTCCTCCTGGCTTTGCTTTTTTTTTAAAGCAAGCTGTTTCATTAAGGAGAAGTTCAACAGGGATGGTGGCAGAAGGCTTCAGAGCAGAAACAAAGTTTTACTTGCTCAAGAATCCTTTATTTCTGCTCCTTGTGTGCTTTGTCTTACATCAGCTGTCTTGGCACAGCACAACAGGGCACGTCCTTTGCAAAGCTGTGGTTTGAAACACAACTAGTTCAACAGTCAGCATCAGTGGAAAGGAGCAGCAGCATTTCTAAACTTCATACAAATGAAAGGACTCTAAAATCTTTGCATGAAGTTCATCTCACATGAGTTATCAGGTATTTAGAAAAAGAGAGAGACATGTTTTGTCTGGAGTCTTTTGTGAGCTGATTTTATCTCCTTGGGATGTACTCACTAAAGATATGAAGTTAGTGCCTCTGTGGAAACGTTACAGAAGAACTTCTCTTCCCTTCTGGTGCTGTACATATCGGTCTTTCCATTCTAGCTTTGCTTTGGCATCCTGCAGTAGACAGGTTTGATATGACCCATTCCAACACAGAGGTTTAGACTCTTCTGCTCAGAGCAGTGTATTGTACAACAGTTGTACAATATGCATTTAACTAAAGCTAGCTCTGTCAAACCACCACTAATCCAGAATGCCAGTAGTGTTTCATGCTTTTCCAGAATACGAGATTGAACATTCTCTTCTTGAGACACAAGATGTTTTATCTGAAAAATTACTTGCTCTCTGTTGCCTTGGCAATGACTTAAAGGGTTTATCTTTACTCAGGTGACTATAGTACAACAGCTTCCCTAAAAGCATTACGTAGGGTACTTGTCTCAGTCACAGCAGGCTGCTCTCTATCATGTGTTTTGTACTTAAACACTCTACAAGTCCAAGCTCATTGATACAGTTCACACAAATAAAACTGAAGGAGTATGAACTATTACACTGCAATAGCCTGTAGGCAATCTCTCAGCAATTTAGCTTTAGAAGCAGGAACACACTTCAGTTAGTTGCCAATGCTTCCCCAAGGGAATGACAGTTATGTTTAGCTTTATCAGCAATTTTATTTTTCTTAAAAAGTCAGTATTTAAAAATAAGCGCGATACGAGATTTCCCCTTGTGCACTGCCATAAGGTTTCTGCTCCCCATACACCTCTTACAGAAGTCTCTTCTCTGGTTTCCAGAAGAATAAGGGTTGTGCTACGTGTACTCATCTTGGCTCCGTCCGCTGCTGCACAGTAGCCGCTGCCTGCCATATATACATGGTCTGTGCTGCTCTATCACACACTGGGAACCTACATGCCTTATCCTCAGTAGTAAACTAAAACCATTTGGAAACACAGAGTTGCTCACACCTGTTAGAGGCTGAAGCTTAGCAGAAATAACGTAGAGTAAGCTAAAGGGTGGGTTAAAAAAAAGCCCTGAGCAGGCAGAGGTGGAGATAAGGGGGCATTTGTTTTTTTCTTTCTATTTAACAACAAACAGGAAATACAATTGTACAATCACTTTTCAAGAAGTAATACAAGGAGAATGAATGTGTTGGGGTGGAATATTAGAAAAGACAGGGGAGGAGAGGCAGAAACACTAAGAATTAAGCCGTTATTAAACAAAAATACGGTGTTTTGAAATGAAACACCAATATCAAAATTGTAACCTCAACTGAAGCTAGACACTCATTCCCCTGACCTCAGCTTTTCTATTCCACACACACTTAAAACTCATTGGGCATTTAGACCAACAGTCTTTCTATAGCTTGCTGGACAGACTGGATCTGAGGCTTTAGCTGTGATCCTTCCTTGATGGTGATGGAGCAGGCGATGACAGGCCGGGAAACACCACACGCCCGGCCCAGGGCTTGCTTGGAGCGCACAAACACATAAGGTACGTTCTTGTCCTCACAGAGAAGAGGCAGGTGCAGGATTATCTCCAAGGGTTCTGCATCTGCTGCCATCACAATGAACTCCGCTATCCCTCGGTTCAGTGTTTTGGTGGCTGTAAAAGAAACTGAAGAGTAAGTCTAGATCCTTCTGGAAAGGAAATTAACAAAAAACAACATTAGGAGATGTTGAAATCAGCATGAGCAGAGAGATCCAGTGGTAGCACGAGGACATGCCAAAGGAAAACGGCAGCTATAGGGCCAGGGAGGGGGTTATCCACAGGGTTGCACTCGAGCACAGGGGACAGCCTCACAAGGGAGCGAGGGCCAGCCCAGGGCTGCTGACAGGCAGGGGCCTGGGGCACACCATGGATGAGGGGAGACTGAGGGAGCTGGGTTTGTTTAGCCTGGAAAAGAGGTGGCAGAGGTGGGAGTGAACACGACTGCTGTCTTCTACTGCTTCACGGGGACTGCAGAGAAGGTGGAGCCAGACTGTCTCCATGAATCCATAGGAAAAAAAACCAAGATGCAGACTGTGATTATTGCCTCAGGGAGATTATGGTGACATGCTGGATTTGTTTTTTCCCATTCCCCTCCTCCCCCTGCCCCATGCAAGGAGTTTAAGCCACGGGACACACATCCTGAAAGACTGTGGAGCTTCTATCCTTAGGGATTGTTTTTCCCCCTCCTAAGTCTGACTAGCCCTGAGCAACCTGATCCAACTGAAGGGAAGCCACTCTCCGAGCAGGTTGCAACAGAGACCTCCAGAGGCCCCCTCAAACCCAAATTGTTTTATAATTCTGAAGTGGCTAGGCATCTGGTAATCCCAGTGCCACACGATCACAGGACCACACGCAGCAGGAGCACAGTCTGGGCATCTATCAGAAGTGTAAATAAATGTTGAAAATACTACAGCTTAATTCTGTCCCTGAATATTGCTTAAGCAGGCTAGGAGGAAGAGGAGGAAGGAGAGGGACACTCACAATACCCAGATCTATATAACATTACTGGCCCTCTGCTAGAGAAGATAAACAATCTCTAGCTACAGTTTCTCACAAAATCCTTGCTCTGATTTCTAGCACACTTCACAACACACGGGTCTCACCTTCATTGGCTCCTTTGCGTAGCTGCTTGTAGTTGCAGGATTGCTGCACGAGATCCAGTAGCGTTTTGGTGAGCTGCGCATCAGCCAGGGGGTAAGCTTTGGGATTCACTTCTGCCTCACTCTAGAGAAAGGAAGAAGTAGAGTATTACAACAGGAGCAAAGGGGGCTTCGTTCTGAACAACACTACATAGGTATCAACGTCCACCACGTATATTGGCTACTGGAGACACATCACTATTCCCAGTTGCTCTGCAAATACACTAAAAATGCCCCTGCATTTTATTTATAAAAATGTGATTCTTCTCACAAGGTAGACAGTATCTCTGCTTACACAGACAGCCAATTTAGATCCTACAGACTGGCAGCAGCGAACACACAGGGCAGCCTTCGGGCATTTGCTGCCACGGATACTATATAAAATGAAGGAACACACTCCAACCACCAGCAAATTAACAAGCCCAGGCATGAAATTTTAAAGAAACCCCGAGAAGAGCATCCATCGGGTTTGTTTCTGCAAATCACAAGTAGCTTCTAAACGTCAACACCAGTGGCGCGGCGGAACAGCAACCAAGTCACAAGCGGCGTTAACTCCTGCCGGGG